CCCCCCTCCGAGGGGATTATCTCCCCCCTTCCCTGCCGGATTATTCCCCCAGTTCGCTGTCGCTGTCCCTCCCTCCGCGTTTATGCTCCTCCGCAGCCTCGCCTCTCGGGGATTATCTCCTCTCGCTTTGGGGTGATTCTTCCTCTCCTGATCTCTGCCCCGGCCTTTCCCTGCCTAATTTCTACCCGAGGAAGTCAACCCTCCCCTTCCGTCTGCCTCTGACTGGGGAAAAGGGGCGAAAATGTGGTTGTGATCAGGTGGGTAGGAGTTTCCAGCAGTGCTGTCATCTCGGTCGTTGTACGAGTACTACAGGCAAGTGGATGTAGGTGTAGGAGGGGAGGCACCAGGGATGGATGTGCGGAGCTTGGACCAGAGTTCAGCCTGTGGCGTTGTGCTCCGTATGCAGGAAAATATCTGCACCCTTCCCGCGATGTCACATCTGATGGAGATGTAGGAGAGCCGACCTGGATCAGTGCTTTGAAAAAACGTGCACGGCTGGGTGGTAGAGACTGCACGGAAAAAAAGCCAGCAGCCTCTGAGTTTCTTTGAGGAAGGTGCAATGTACAGTGGTAACATTGTGGGTGGGAAGGTGCTTGGATGACATTGCTGCTGTCCGGGGGTCAAAGCTGACTTGGATAGCTTCTGTCTTGGCTTAGGCTGTTGCTCGGTGTTGAGGAGGAAGCAGACTGGTGTCTTTTGCTGAAGCTCTGATGCTGATGTGGTTCATTACTCTCAACTTGCTGCCTGAGGAAAAATGTGTGTGATCCTAAAACAGAGGGGGAAGGTTTATGCCATGTGTTTGGCTGCTGCATAGGTTCGACCGGTGTCTTCTCCCAACACCTGGTCTCCCTGCTCATGGGTTTGCCGGAGGAGAGTTGCAGGTCTCCTGGGCATCTTGCGGCACCAGGCCCAGGATTATATCCATTAAACTTCTCCCACTTGGCTTTGGGAGGAGGAGAGGCTGTGAGAAATTGTACAGAGACTGAGCAACTATAAATAGATGTCGGACTAGAGGAGGCTTTGAAATCTTAGCATGCTGCTTCTGAACAGATAGTGTCTGTTAAACTGGTTGGGTTGACACTAGCATCATAATGTTTCCATTTATTTCTGCTGAGGTGGTTGGCTTTTAACACTTTGACATGTGGCCGGACCATACAACATCTGCCAAAAAATTCTTCTTGAAAAGGACATAGAGAAAATTCTCATTTAAATGAAGTGCTGACAATTGGAGTCTAGTTTGAGCTCATTTAAATGGGTTTTTTAAAGGACCTTTCAGAGAAACCTTTAGTTTCTTCTTCCCTCCCTTGAAATGCTTGGAATTGATGATCTTATGCCTTTAATTTGTTCTTAAAGTATTGCACTAGATAGATTACCTGACATCTATGTTGCTGTGAAAAATCTGCAGTACTGAGGTATCACAACGCTGGCAGCATTGCTAGGTTTTTATTTTGTTGTTTAGGTTTTGGAGTTTTTTGTTTATTTGTTTGTTTTTTAATGGAATCTTTGACATCTAACCAAAAGGGTTTATATTCAGCTTTCTAGAACTCAGGGTGCTTGCATTTGTTTTAGATCTTATGGATCACTGCTCTTTCAGCTTGTCTTGTTGAGAACTAATTAATATGGAAATTATTGACAAATATACTGTACTAGCTCTGTGGAATGGTATCTGTTCTGCTGCTTTATTAGTGGGCCAACTGCATACTCTGAGTCTCTTAAATGATTGAAAAGCTGTTGCAACGTATGTGCAATTGGACCTTTTTTGAACTACCTCTTTCTTGTGCCTTTTTTTTCTTTTAAAAATAGTGGAAGCTATTAAATCATGATGGTTTCTTTTTTCTTTTTTTTTTAAATAAAAGAAAAATAGGAAGTAAGGAAAATATGCCTGAATAATATGAAAGAGTCTTAACAAAGGCTAATAGGATGAGTATCTGCAAGAACCCTGACTTTTAGGACATTTCTTATTTGGAGCATAAAATTTAAATCTGATCTTCTCCTTTTTTGTTTTTGAATTTGTGTGTATGTGAACCTCAGGGAGGCAGAAAGGAACAGAAATATTGGCAGTATGACTTACTAGTTTTGGCATTTTTAGTAGATATTTAACCATAGTTAAAAGCAGGAAAACCAAGTAATCGATCAAATAATTTGGCATTATTTTAAGTTGTTAAGGATGTGATTAGAGCATTATCCTCAAACTCTGGTTACCTTCAGTCAGCATTGAACTCCAGTTTGCTGTTAGGTCCATATGTTTGGTATTTCTGTGTGCAGAAACAGAGGTCAGTGAGCTGGAGAAAGCTTTATAGTACCAAAATGACCAGCAAAAGACTCTTTAGTATGAGTCTCTACACAGTGACTCAGTCCCTGAATTCTTGTGTTATTCTCAATGTATTTGTTTGTAGAAATTGTAGTTTGAATGCCATTTTCTAAAAGTTCAGTGTCCTGCTTTAAACCCATACTTTCTGCCAAGTGATTTAAAGTTCTCACTGGGTGTGACTGTCCCAGGCTTGTTAGTGCCCTTTGATCCTCTGTGCAGGACACTGATAAGTGAATCTTTTCTCATGGTGAAGAAGAAGTGGGAGGAATTTCTTTTTTCTTAAAAGACAGGTATGCACTTGGGATTGTAACAATCTCCATGCAGATGTGGAAGGAATAATAGTCTCAAGATCTGAAAGGATGAAAAGCTCACATATGTTCAAATAAAATGCCCCATCATGCTCTGAGCTTAAACTAAAAATGGATAAAACCTGGAAGGGTTGGCCTTGCACATGTGGTAAAACTCCGAATTTTTAGAAGCATCCTGCAACTGGAGGGGTGCAGACACTATTGGACTTATTTGTATTTGGAAATACGATGTAGAATATGATGGCGGGGTTAAGAGCAAGTCTGTGAGAGGGAAAAGTGATTTTACTGTTCCCCTACAAGACAAGAAGCTCATAGAGGGTGCTGGAGAAGAGTGAGTTTAGTTCAGAGTGACATGCAAGAGACAGGCTGAAATACAGATGTGCAGGTCACAAACTCTGTTCGAGGGCTGTATTATTCCATGGTCATTATAGGCATCTGCAGTTGGATCTCAGGTTATACTACAGCGAAACTGTAGTACAACAAAGCATAGTGATGGTAATGTGCTATCCTGTGGCTTAAAATTGCTTTTTTTCAGAATAAAGCAAGCCTGAATTATGTAGGTATGGCTGATGTCACTCTTACAAGAATAATAGAGACCAGAAAAAAGAGAGAGGTTAGGACAGGGGTTCTTCCATATGTAAACATTTACATTCCGATTTTGGGTTAATTAGAGTCTCTGAAGTTACAGTAATTTCACAATCGTTGTTAAATAACAACAGTAAGAATTGAAAAACAGAATGTTGTCTACTCTTATCATGTTTTAATTATTTTCAAGGTCTGTGGCTTAAAAGAAAAAGGTGTTTCATACTAACAGTGTTTCATATTAGCAACCATTCCATGGGCTTTACACATCAGTTTTTTAAAGAACTCATTCTAGTGTCGAGGTCTCGTGAAACCATGGTGGAAATTAGAAAGGTACTGAAATCAGATGACATTTCAGATTTACTAGCAACAAGTGTTATTTAATAAATTACATATACATGTTTTTAAGAGTATTGACTAGTTTTACATTCCGACTAGGAACTGTTTGAGAGTCAGGACTCAGTGAAATCCATACTTGCTGCAGAGAATGACAGTGGTTTCTACAAACTTGTTTATGGGGGAGAGGGGCACAAAACATCGTGACACTTGACATACAAAAATTCTTTGTGTCTTGCACAAAAACATCGCTTCTCTTGCAGCATCTGCTTACCCAAATCCCAAAGGATCAAATTACTGTTTCAGTTAAATTCACCTTTCCTAGTAGGTGGAAACACAACTGTTGATTTCAAATAAGCTTAAGCCTTTACATTTTGATTGCAAACATTTTATCAAGATTCTGTTGAAATAATGAAAATTAGGATGTAAGAAAAAGTTTAAATTTTTACTTTAAGATGGTTTACTTAAGCCTCTTACTGAAAGAGCATCCAAATATTACTTCTGTAATAAGAGTGACTACTCAAATAGTTTGGGTTTAATTTTCTAATTATCTCTACCCACTGGTCAAATATGCATTAATGAAAAGTTTAAATGATATCTTTTAAAATATACAAGCACAGGATGGAGGAAAGTAGATTGAAGGTAAATAGACCGAGGGTAAAAAGATTGGTAAAGTTTTTTCTGAAAACTAGTAACACAAGGTAGAGGAGCCCTCAAATAAATCAGCAGGAGAATAAAAGAAAGATGTATCAGCCATTCTGACTGTTATTCCATTCCGTGATAAGTTTTTAAAAAATACTTGATTCCATGTTCATTCATTAAATTGTTCAGACATCTGACTGCAGAATCATGTCAGAGGTTTTGTATGTAAAACTTGTCAACAACTTTTTATGTGATGTTGATTTATTTTTTAACAGGTCAGTGGGCCAGTTGGTAAGTCAGCCTTTACATACCGTATTAAAATTCCACCCCATGCCGTTCCTGATCATCTGTTGAAGTTTACAGAGGTCTTTTTGGCAAGATGAAACTGCTTATGCAGCAGAAGTTCTCAAACTGGGAAGACAGACTGTATTCTAGCACATTCAGTGAGAGAAAAGTTTATTTCTCCTTTCCAAGCTATTCTGGCTTACTGTATTGTGAGCTGTTGTGCTGTAGCAAAGGATAGGGTAACAGCACAGAAATTGCCTGATTATTAATTTTACTGGAGTCATACTGCTGCTTACAGCTTCTCATGCATTCTTCAGATCATTAGAAGGAGCTGTAATTAACAACTGAAAGTTCAGTTTACGCATTCTTCAGTAAAGAACATGCAGGCAGGGAGAAGTTGTTAAGTGAAACTTAATGTTCATGGAGTGTGTGACAGTAGGGCATTCAGTCATCTGAATTCAAATCAGGCAGACAGTCAGTCCCTCTTCTCAGATCTACTGGCACAGCTCTGCTGCCTACACTAAATTTGGTACGGAACAGCAACATGGAATGAGCAGTGCTTGATTCAGTCACTTCTGACCAGTGGAGCTCCTTTATACAGATTTCATCCTTGTCGTATTTTAACAACTTCCAGGAGCTTGTTGCACTTGGCATTTGTCTTACATGATCTTCCCTGAGGACAGACTCTGGGTGTACATTGCTATGTGTGGTATTTAAGGCAGTATTCAACTGAGGCTTATTTATCAAGTGAAACACTAGTTTCGGCTCTATGAATTTAGTTTCATTCTTTCATAGCTTTATGTGAGGTGGCTCACTTGCTGCATGGATAAAATTCAACCTTGATGTAAGCCTGTTGTGTGAGAAGAGCTGTCCATCATTAGCTCTGCGATAATCTCACAGGTGTCTTGTCACAAGAGGGATCAAATGGACACACTATCTTTGAGTCATTGTGCTTTGGGAAGCAAGATAAACTGGTAAGTTGTGTTGCTGAGTTTTAATCAGCACTTCTGTAACATTACCTGGGCACAGAGCAGTAATGACTGTGCTTGAATTGCTCGGACGGATGGTTGAGAATCCTCACGTCTACTTCATGTTCCCGTTGCTGGAGGGGAGAAATGATTGGGCAGTTTTGAGGACAGGCCATAAATACAGAAAGATAAAGGGGTATGAGAGCATCGAAGAATTGAATTGTCTCTTGTGTTTGACACATAATTTGATAGGAAAAAAAATCCATCCGTCCCTCCGTCTGTCCTTGTGTTTGCCACACACACACACCACTGGCTCCCAACGGGTAAGTCATAGGGATCCGGACATTGTTGGAAAGCGTGCTATTGGAATGGAAGATTAACTAGGTGTGTACACTGGTGAGAAGGTAAGAGTCTTAGGCTGTTGTTAAGAAGGGGCAGAAAAGGGTTTTGTATTTAATGATTTCCAAGTTCCGAGTGCGGAGCCCGAACGCACGGGTCGGCTCGGAAAGGTGGCTCAAGTGCGCTCTCCAGTGGCCACACCGGGACAGCGGCGCTGGGATGGGCTCGGGGCCACCGCGGGGTGAGTGACAGAAGCCAGCTCCTGCTGTGCGGATACCTCCTTGCTTAGCTGAGTACACTGATGTGCTTCTTAACAAATAAGTGGCTGCATTCGTTAAAAAAAAAAGTCCGCTGTTGCCGGAAATTGATTCGGTTAGAAATCTTGCTCTTGTAGTTTGATAAAAAAATGCCTTTCCCATCCAGCACTCTATTAGATGGGGAGATTGGTGCAGTTGGAACTGTTTGTGCTGTCGCCTGGAAGCAGGCAGGTTTACTGCTTAACAGAATTTATTAGCTATGAATTAAAGTGTGCACATTTAACTGTGTCAAATCTTGGCAAATAGTTCTGCAAACAGCACAGACTAATTAAACAACAGCAGAAAGAAATGTGTAGTTCTTACCAAGTTTAGCACAGAGTTCTCAGTCTTACATCAGATTCCATGCTGTTCAGGAAAGCCTCAGGGGCCTTCAGAAGGAAGAACTTCATTGGTACTAATGAATAGGAAATGGAAAAGAGAAGGGTGTACTGTTTCAGCAGGTGGACTTGTTATAAAGTGGAAGGTCTCAAGGTGCATTGTTGTAATTTGAAATTTCTGAGGTAACTGCTTCATATATGATTTCAAGTTTCTGGTATTGTTTTACTTTGTCTCTTTTTAACTGTTCAAACCATGAACTTCTGGCTCCTGGTAGAGTTCTCTTTTGTAGACAAGACCAAAGTTAGGCCTTGTTTGACCACACACCTTATTTCTCCAAAAACCACAACTGTTTTGAGAGCTTTGTATGACAGTGAGACTGTCAGAATGGTATTGTTAGGTCGTGCTATTAACTGGAATTGTTAAACTAAGACACTTAAGTAAGTTTGAGCTCCTACGAATGTAGTGTTTGGTTGAGTTTTTTAAAGTAATTTTATTTGTAAGGTATGAGCAAAAAAAAACTTTACAGAGGAACATTCAGTGAAACTATTAAGATTCCTGTCTTTAGAATTGTAAGAATTAGTCTAATTACAAGTTTGGCAAAAAATGCTTCTGTAGTGAGTTTCAGAACAGTCAGTTACTTAGCTTAGACTGTATGGGCCCTATATGGAAAAGTGCAACTGTATGTTTATATGTGATATCTGGTGTGATACAGTCTTACCAGTTACACCTGTTTACTGCTTCTGATGAAGGCCATTACACAGAACCTGTACTTTTGTGCACAAAGCTCTTGTCTCATTATGGATGTCACTATAAAGCTTTTACGCATTTCAAATAATAATAAAAAAATAAAATCCCTTGGGCTTCCCTACCCCAGGCATAAATGATTTTACTTTACAAATATAATTACTGTACTTCCAGGAGGTAATCTCTCTGGACAGCCATAGACTAGTTTGAATTAGATTACTCTGTTTTTTCCTCCAGGGTGAGTTAATACATTGAGTTTTATTTTTCTGTAATTACTTCAAAATTTAGATCATTTTTAATGCTTACTATTCTTCCTTATAACTAGACTGGGAAAGCTAAGAATACTTGCATTGAAGGATTAACATTAACTTTTTTTCACCCTTTATATACTTCAAGTAGGTATCTGTTCTGATCCTCAATTTCATACAGCTCATGCTGTATTCAGTTAGTCTCAGTTGTGGAGTTTCTTAATTTGGAGATACTGGAAATATTTACTTAATAAGCAGAGAGTAAGCACACTAAATCTTTCAACTGTGACATTTAACCAAGTCTAGCTAGAGCAATGTTTTTGTTAAATCTGTATTTCCAGAGTTCTGGGTTTGAAATCTTCCCAATAGTTTCTGGCACTAAGCTTCATGAATAAAGCAAGTTACTAGTTTTACCTCTGTTACAAGATCTTTGGACAGAAAGTCAGTCAGTGTGAAGTAAACAGAGGAGCTGAGTTAGTCAGGGGAGAGAGTCAGGAAAATGTTTTTCCTCTTTTTTTCATGAACTTCAGCAGGAAGGGCAAATCTCTGAATAGATGATTGTGAACCACAATTGGATGCAAATGCATTTATATAAATGACCTGTTTGTATTTGGATTTTACTTATTTAAGACATAGCAATGCACTTAAGCAGTAGATGAGAGAAGACCACAGAGATTAATTTGTAAATTACCCTTAAAATAACACAGTGCTGTTTTGGAATAGAAGGAAATCTTTGGTGTTTTGAGGTCTCAGAATATGACTTCCTGTTTGTGTTCAGGACTAGCCAGGATATCTGTAGAGGCAATCATTTTAGTTCTGTTGTTGGCATCTGGTCTCGAAGTGCAGAAGTATTATGTACTAATGCAAAAGTGAATACAATGTTAAAGGGTAAAACTTGTTACTTGTTTTGTCAAAAGTCCTACAGCATAGCTACATGACACTTCAGACCATTGCAAACCTGAAAGTACTTGAGTCCCATTAAATACAGTAGGTTTTCAAATAATAAGAACTGTCATTGGGTCAGACTGAAGGTCCATCCAGCCCCTTTTTCTAACATGCAGTGCAGCATCTGAAGCCATGCAGAATCTATCAGGAGCTTCTATTAATGTTATTTCTGAGCCGATTTTCAACAAGACAGAAAACATGGACGTCACTTGATGAGAAGAAGCTGGGGCCAGAATAATTAGTGTCTGGATAGCCTTAAATTCAGTTTCCAGTTGGGATAAAGAAGCATAACATGGTCCCCAAGTGGCTAGACATCATTATCCAAAAACTGGTGAAGAATTCATTGTGCTAATGTGCAACAGCAGCAGAATCCAAAATTTAATGCGTTGTTCATGACTAAAATAACATCTTATGTAATTGCCCTGGGCCTGCAAATTAGCAGCTTCCAAAAAGATCTGATGGCTTTGCAGAGGGGATTGAAAACTAAGACGGCAGAATAACTGATAATGCTAAAGTCATAAGACTTGAAGGTCTCCAGGAAGTCCATCCCCAAGTAGAGAACAGGTTACACATTTGCCATTCTTTTTCTCTCTCTGCCCTTCTGCAAATCATTAGGGAGCTAGTATAAATGCAAGAAGGTGACCTGAAATACCAGGTACACGCTGGCAGCTGTGGGTGTGGCTACCTGTAAGAAAAAAGTTCCTACTCTCTAATATTGCACTGAAGAAAGACCTTGCATCAGGAACTTTCTTTTGTTTGATATGATCTTGCCCTGTGTTAGGATGTATTGATACATTTGAACTGGGCAGGGTTGTTACCAGTAATGGATTGGATGTCGCAGTCTTTTAAATGCCCTTTAAAAATACCTGTATTTTATTTGTTTGCATGCATGCATGTGACTGCATACATATGTGGAAGCATACAGAAAAAGAAGGACTTTTTAATAAAATGTAGTATTTTATATATACATGCGTTAATATGTGTGTGGGTGTATATGCATACATATGTATCTTAAAAAAAGAGAACGCTTGTCTGTAAAGAGAAAGCCCAGCATCCATAAACTGTCTAGGAAAGCATAAAACAAAGTAAGCATACTTGATGTTTTCCCTAGGTAATCTCCCAGAATCTGTCTAATATTTAACCTGAAGAATTTTAAAAATTAAATTAGATTGTGGATTGTTTACGTAATGTGTATTGGGGGCTTTTACCATCAAGACATTTCCATTTCAACTTTTTAATGGACTAGTATTCATACATAAATTGCTAGGGTGCACTGGAGATCTGTTTGATTAAACATGAGAAACTCTTATCCTTGGATTGGATTACTGTTTAGTTTCTTTAAATAATTGACAATGGATTTTCACTGAAGTGCTTGATAACTGAGATCTGATATGTGGAGCATTATAGTCTTCTGTGAAGATTGAACCACTACTAGTTCTTGTTTTGGTAACAGCTGGTGGCAAGTTTGAAGCAGATTAATGATTACCCATATTTTAATTTAGGAAGCATGTCAGACTGACTGGGTTACCCACAGGTTGTTCTTTGGTAGGCCATTGCTCCATCCTGCCTAATGATATGTCCAGGTGAAACAGCAGAAATAGATGTTTAGCCTCCAAACACTGGAGCTTGTGTGCCTGTTTATATGTGTACCTGATCTCCAGAAATCTGACTGCTGCCATGTGACATGTTCCTTCTGATCCTGCCTTCCACACAGGCACCTTGTATAAGGTAGACCTAGCCTTGGCCAGTATCTTGGTATGGCTTTAAAGGTGGTTCTGCCTTCCGTGTGGGGTTTTAATAAACACAGAAAGATAAAGTGTGTTGGGATTAAAGAAGGAACATTCTAATAGTTTGAATTTTTAGTTGTTTGGTCACTGAGTCCTTTGAACTTACATGTCTGTGCTGATGAAAGGTGGTCATCTGAAGCTAAAGGGAAAACTTCTCGATTAGCAATAGAAATGCTCTTTCAATTTAATCTGACAGTGTGGTATCCTGTGCCGAGAAGCATGTTCAGCTGATCTGTGGAAATGCATGGATCATAAGGAAACATCACTGTCTCAATTGCCGTGCTTACAAAGCATCCCTCCTAACATTC